CAGTGCTTATCAAAGTGCCTCGCCTGCTGATTATCTCTCCAAAAAGAGCAGAGACCAAAGCTGTGAGCAGAGTGTTGGATCAGGCTTTTCCGCTGGGGCAAAGATGGCAGCATGCTCCATCAAGAGAACAACTAAGTTTCAAAGTGGCATACACAGCTTTGGTTGCACAGAACTAATTATGCCAAACACTACCCCCCAACATGGGATTCCATTACTACTAGAACATTGCAGCCTGTCCTCCTACAAAAAACGACCAAATAGGTTGATTGTTCAGCAGCTTATTACGACACATAGCCACGTTTTAAAGTGTAGCACCTCTAGTGGTCGTGTACGAAACAACATGCTCCCGTTGATTGCAAACGCTCCGGAGGGTCGTTATTCACAAATAACCCTCTCTGGAAAATCCTAAATTGTGGAATAGTTTGGCCATTAAAATGCTTTTTGATTAGATTTCTAGCGAGAAGTGTATATTGCACTTTTAGAATCCACGTCCAGTCGATGTGTAGGATCTATAGTTTGATAATTACGAAGATGATTTGAGGTCTCGCCAGGAGAACGAGTACACTACGTCTTTCCGCAGCGTCCATGTACAGTTGGCGTCAACCCTCACGGGGTGAAAACAGTATTTCCGGTCTTGAAATTTTCATAATAAAACCGGAAGTATTCCCCTCACTGTCAAATGATTACACAGTGATATCTGCATTACTCATCCTCTAAAAAACATCAGTTTATCCTTATTTATCCTTTATAATATTGATTGGTTTAAATTGTGTACAATGCTTTTGTGTTTTTTTAACCTTCGATTCACAGAAACAAATGTAGAGTTTAGACACTACGGAGTTTCCGAAGACGCTACACTACCCAGAATCCTCAGCTATCGTTTGGGACTACAACATCCGCTTTGCTTTACAAACCCGTGATTAGTACTCAAGCTCTGTGATTGGATGTTGGAGTGGCAGTGCGACAAGGTTACGCCGAGCGTCAACAGCTCTTTGAAATGGAATGTAACCACGGCAGACTTTCCAAAACTGGACTCGAACGGGTCCAGCCCAGCCCCCCCCCCCCCCCCCCCAGGACTAACATGCTGGCTATTGTGTGTTTCGCAACATGTTCTATGGCACGTCTCTATTGGGAATAGTAGTTTTAAAAGACGTTTTCGCATTTCCCATAATTAGAAGTTGCCAGTATTAAACTGTATACATCCCTGGAGGTTTAGGGGATAACAAACACAGTGGTGTTATCACATTTAAAACATATAATTAATACATGGGTGAAAATTGCTTGTGTCCATAATGGGCAGCATTAATTAACCCACATGACAGCTAAGGTCAGAAGAGCTTTATTTAACAGCTGGTCTTATGTCTGTGACCCCTCCTGTTGTTCATTGATAAGCCTGAAACATGCACTTGTCAAGGTTCAGAGGCACATTTTGCAAATATGGCAGTAGCCATCGATCATCTTAAGATAAGATAAGATAAGATATGCTTTATTGATCCCAAGTTGGGAAATGTTTTTGTTACAGCAGCATGTACTACTTTGTTCTACTCCACTACAATTCAGAGGTTAATCTGTTATTTTTACTCTACTACATTTATTTTAGTTACTTTGCAGATTTTGATTAATGATGTGAAATATAAACAACCCTTAAATCAGACTTTAGTTACACCTGAGTCAAATTCAGGGAAGGTGATTGTCAAGTGCCAAAATAAACTATGCAATATATTGGACGTTAAGTACTTTGTCAGACTTAATATTTATCTGTGGATAACCACAACGTTTTTTTCTTATTCAAAAGAAGACCTTAACTTAAAGTATTATTTTAATAAAGCCTTATTAGTTTGTCTGTTTTGCACATCCTCCTGTTAATATCTTTGGACGTCCTGCACTAAACTGTTTTATTGTAGAGATCACTTATAGTATCTTCTTGATTTGTTATATTCTATATTTCTATCATGCCTTCTACTTTCCCCCTATTTTGTATGTAGGCTACTCTTAATATTTAAATGTTTTCATCAAATAAAACTTATTCAACAACAAAATTCAATAACGTGCTTTAACCACTAGGCGGTGCAGGTTAAAAAACCAGTGGTGTAGTTAATAAAACATAATAATATCAAACATAATATTACTATTAACTTTATTGTGAAATTATAACATAACGTTAAAGGAAAATTGTACCATGAACCTGTATAGACCTGTAACAGTCAACTGCATGAGGAGTTGGAAAGGTAGTTTCTGAAGATGTTACAAATAACACACAGCATACAATGCCATAATAACTTTGTATTATTAGTGTAGGACACTTATGTATGTATAACATCTGAAGATGTGTAGTTTTATTCATGTTTTCACATAATTGTACAGGATATTGCTATAATATTTCACATATTGTAGTTCTATATAACAATATTATAGCTAATAATGTATATATATATATATATATATATATTATATATGATATATATAATGTAATATATCAGATATTAATGTGTATACACATTAATATCTGATTTGTAAAACATCACAGACTCAGTATTTACATTCTTTAATTCAAAGAAAATCAGTAATACCTTTAAAAACTACAAGTCCCTTTCTATCAGCTGTGCACCGTTATGGTGTAAATATAACCTATCTAACAATTGGATCAAATATAAAAGTCAGCCAAATTAGTGTTGATACTGCAAGGAGACGTAATGTGTGAAGAGAAATGGAAGATGTTGTTTAATGGCTGATATATTTATGATCCACGTCACGTATTCAGTTTCAGCGGCAGTTCCTCATGTTTGTCTAGAAGTCTTCTCATCAGGGCTCTATAAATAAAGAACTACGGCAGATATGTAATATTTAATGCAGCCGAACCGTGTATTACAATGCCGTTATGTGATGACATTCAAAGAGAAAACCAAGCACACTCGGGATAAAATATTATTTTTAAAAAAATGTTTTCGGATCGCACAAACACCATATACCAACGTGCATTGCCTTTCAAAACCTCTGAAAAAAGAAAGGTGTCTCTCAGAATCGAAAGGGAAAAACCTATGGGAAAAACACAAAAGCATTGTACACAATTTAAACCAATTAATTGTGTGTAATTAACAAGGATAAACTGATGTTTTTAGTGGATGAGTATTGCAGATATAGCTTTAAAATCATTTCACAGTGTGGGGAGTACAGTTTTATACGAAACTTCGAGACCGGAAATACTGTTTTCACCCCGTGAGGTTTGACGCTAACTTTACATGGACGCTGCCCCATATACATGTTCTCGTGGCGAGATCTCAAATCATCTTCCTAATATCTATCAAACTATAGATCCTACACATCTACTGGACGTGGATTCTGAAAGTACAATATACACTTCTCGCTAGAAATCTAATCAAAAAGCGTTTTAATGGCCAAACTATCCTACAATTTAGGATTTTCCAGAGAGGGTTATTTGTGAATATACGACCCTCCGTAGCGTTTGCATTCAACGGGAGCACTAGAGGTCGAAAACTTTAAAACGTGATTATAGGTCGTAATGAGCGCTTGAACAATCGACCTATTTGGTCGTATGAGTTGGAGGACTTGTTGGAACATTGTATTGCAAGCTGGTGTTGGGTGAAATTAAATGTACTGTTATTTATTTGGTCAAGTAGGTACTTTTTATTCGGGATGGAGAAATATCTATAATTCTCACAGTACCTGACAATTTGTTATTTTTCACAAATTCAATTGAACTAAAATGCACTTTTTGCAGAAGTGCTTCATCAGACATGGCCTGGCATTGGCAAAAAAAATATGGAAAAGACATATAATGAATTACAGTTACAAGTACAATAAATGGCCGACCTCTTCATCTAGTCTGCAGTTTATACACATTGTCTTACTGTGAATGAAGTGAGTGCACAGATACCAGCCCAAATACAGTTTCTAACCCTAACCCCTTTTATGTAAAAGAGGCATTTTGAACTTTTTGTTCAAGGATCAAATTGGATCGCAAAACAAATAATGACAAACACAATCATAAAATGTTAACATATGAACAACCATATTCAACAAGTAAGAGCCTGCCATTGATTATCCACCACATCCAGGTGTCATGAGAACGTTGCTCTCCATAGCCACATCCTCCAGCTGTTTCTTGGGAGTCCCGGGGCGATCTGAGGCTAGACCGAATGTGTGATCACTTCTGCATGTGCTTGGTCAGCCCTGGGGTTTTCCTCCGAGTTGGTTGTTCAATTCATATTTCCACATGGAGGCATCCTGATCAGTTCTTGACTGCCTTAAAAAGGATTGTCTGTACTGGACTATGTCCTTGGCAGGGCGCAGCGACTGTTGCCTGGCAAGACATTAATTCTGAAGGTAGCTTTTGCTCGAACTCAACATACAAGATCTTACATATATATTTTCAAATACACTTAAAGGTGGAAGCTGGAATGTTTTATCACAAGAAATTCTAGTTAGCTGTTTCGTATATTTTGTGCTTAGGCAAGCTAACCATCCGCTAGCTATGACATCATAATAAGTGTAAGAAATGAAAGTGGAATCCTCTCATTTGACAACAAAAGGAAACAGAAAGATTAAGTGTAACTTTGTATTTCCCAAAATATCAAACTGTTTGAGATTTCTATTCATGATGTCTGTAATCATACTTCGCCTATAGTAACCCCTAATCTCAGTTTTTTTTACCCAAAACTAAGGACCTATATTTGCAGGTATAACAAGTTAAGTTGGGAAAGTAGGTACACTGATATTGAGAGCTTCAGTCAAAGCTTGCTCATCAGTCCAGTACAGTGTATGCACCTACTGATGGTGCACCAACCCAACTGCTGTTTCATCCTACCTTCACTTGAGAACAAGACTTTAAGATGCTTTAGCTCCTTCACTTTGGGAATATCGCAAAACCTGACTTTAGACCACTCAATATTCTTTAGTGTTGATATCAGTCAAGTCTCCCATCTCCCTCTATTAAATGCCTTATACGGAGATATTAATGGTACTTTTTCCTCTCTTTACAGGTGATCCTGATTCTCACCAAGCTGTACGACTTTCATATTGGCAGCGTCACTGAGAGCACTCTTTGGAGGTGAGTACAAAGGGTTTTTTCATTCACAAAATATTTACAAGATGTCTTTGAATGCCGCTTTGAGTACTGAATGGTATAATTAGCCTTGTGCAATGATCCTGCGATTGGCTTGATGTTTCGGCGAATTGACCAGTCAGTACAACATATGCTCCAGTGGCTGACAGCTAACAGAATCTGACTCAGCTCACTGTTATGAACCCTTATGATAAATGTTCTTCATCTCTATTTCGCCCACTCATTTTCTTGCACAACCATCAGTCTCTTTTCCCACCTGTCTGCTATCACTGTGTCTTTTTTCCTTCTCCTCTCCCGTGGCACTGTGAACAGCGTGTTCTGGTGTCACGCACGGTCAGACGGGCACTCAGTGTGGAGGATGCTGTTTGCCATGCTCTTGTTCTGCCGTATTATGATGCACTCCCCTTCCTCGAACCCTCCCGGGAATAAACACAAAGACACACACTTCAGAAAATAGTTCTTGCACAGAGTAAAAACAAACTACCCAAAGATGGGCTGCACATTTCTGATAAGTTGATAATGAGTGGAACCAATTTTCAAATAGTGTAACATGAATACAGTTATTCCTTTGTCTGAGGTTTCGGGAGATGCCTCATGTGACAGCGTGCTCTCGGGTAGGATTTGAACAGTTTTACCATGGAAACAGTGTGTAGTATGGGAATATCGGGTCCTCTCAGGTCAATTACCGTTCACAAAAACCCCTGAACAGCAATTGTCCAATCCTAGAGCTTAGCAACCGTTGCTAGTCACAGAAGGCTGCATTTTCTGTTAGTAAGAGTGGTATTCAAAGGCTTGTGTCTTTTGTCAACCCTTTCCGAAAACTTAAAACACAATCAGAATCAGAAATCCTTAATTCTTCCCACAGCAGATACATTTACGTTGTAACTGCAAACGGACAGTGCAGATAAAGAGCTAAATAAGAGACACACAATAAATAGGCCCTTATCTGCTTTTTGGAGTTTCCCTTTCCTGTAGTGTGTTATAAAGATCTTTTGTGCATTTACAGCATACTTAAATATGAGGTAATATGCTCGCACCCTAAATGGGTGACTACGATACAAGGTAAGCAAAGAAAAAGGAAGACAGAAAAGCCAGTCAGAATCAGATAAAACATTTTTAAATACATAAAGGTCCGTTTTTTTACTACTCAAAAACAATGAATCCCATCCTGTCTCGATTCGGATCAAAATTGCTTTTTGACTGTTCCTTTTCTCCAGCTACGCACTTCTGTACTCAAGTATGCAATAACTGGTTCAAACACAACCAGCTCTATTTGCCTAAAGAGAAACAAACAGTGTTCCATCTGCACATCTTTTTTTGTGGAGATTTTCAAGACGACAGTCCCTTTTTAAGCGCAAAACATTTGTACTTCTCAAGTTTTGCTGCTGCTGCCCAGCTTAAAGCGTTAGTTTGACAATGATGAGCTGTGCCAAAGTGACTGCTAGCCATTTCTGACATTTAGACAGCGACTGTGTAATTTGGACCCCCGAGGCAAAAACAGAGTCCTGTTTTGGTATTTGACTAAGCGCATGGAAAATGGAGTCCCCAGATATTCTTCGGAAAGAGAGAAGACAGCTATTTTAGCTGCATCAGTTAGGCATATATAAAATAGTTTGATATATTTCTTTATGGATAGCCTCTATGACAGCATTTCAAAACCTTCTCTGCCCTTTTAAACCCTCGTTACCTTTTCTCCAATGCTCATCCATCTGTATGTGTAGAAGTTTCTCACTTTTGTGGTCCCTCTGCACTGTTGCATAAACCCTCTTTTACATATCCCCCATCACAACCACCACAGATGGCAGAGAGGACACAGTGTAGCCTAAAGGAGAGGTGAAAACCATCCTTATGTAAACTGAACGTGGCTTCAATAAACTCCAAGGAGAAAACTTTGGTTAATCTCAACACTAGACACTATACATTTTAAATGCTTGTATGTCAAACAATATGTGACCTGCTCTATTGGAATGAGTCACAACAAGACCAAACACTTCTTAGCTTTCTAATGATACCGTTATTGTCTTTCCACCCCAAATATTGACCATAATATATCATACACTATTGTAATGACTGTAACCAAGACACCATTTTGAGCAAAAGGCCTTCAAAGTTTTTGGCCATTGTTATATTACGAGGGGAATCCAGGCTGTCCTTCGTAATGTTCAATCTACAGCACAATGTTCAGGATTATCTATCGATTCATCTATCGTATTGATTAGGCTAACTCATTTTAATCTAGGAGAAGCAACGAGGACATTCTGAAATTTAGATCAGATGAAAACCCACTGGACCAGACCCTCCCATGTTACACTCATTAGGGATTATTTTTTTAAGAATGAAGTCATTTTTGAAGTCAATTATGTGGTTCTAGCTAGAAGCTCTGTCAAATTAAAGAGGTTTTCATTTAAATATTGTGATTAAATGTATGTTGAAAAAGTGTTGCAATGTCAATCACTATGGTTTTCAGCAATCCAGCTTTAGGCTTCAAATCAGACACTAAGTAGTCACTAAGTTAGACACTAAGTAAAAAAAGGAAGTGAAAGGACAAAGTCCAAATCGGGGCATATCCAACCTTTTTTGGAAAAATACAACTCGGAAAGAACCTTCATAAACTATGTTCAGCTTTTAGGAAGGCAGCCCCAGCCCCAGTAAGATGTAGTATAATCATGAATTTATTTGCACACAAATAAGTCATGATTGGCCTCAACCAAGCACTTTTTATCAGAGATAAATGCAACATGACAGTTCAACTCTGTAGGGAAGATGTAATCAGGTGAGATAATTCCTCCATGGTGAGAAAACAGGCGCATCACTGTGCTTGAACAGCATTATTGGCAGCACTCCCAGCCCTGTCACTCGCCCACAAACTTACAGCGAGGGGAGCAGCTGTCCGTCTAGGCTTGACTTTCCCGTACATCAGTGTCTGAGAAGATGCAGTATGTATGGCAGGAATGTCAGAAGCTGAAGGAAGTCAAATGGACAGGGGAATAAAAAAGGGGAAAGATAAAAGGCTAACTGTGTATCGGAGGCGCCATTTTCTTGAATCAGCTCAACTGTGTTGGTGTGGAGAAAGCCCGGCTGTCTCGTGTCAGCTACGCTCCGTGATTCGTCTCTCCGTTGCCGGCTAATTGAGATCACACCTCTGATAGGGTTTGAAAAGGAGCAGTTGGAAAGAATGTTTATCACTTCACGGGGAAGAAGTCGCAAACCTTTTAGCAAAGGTCAAGGCAGTGGCATCACCTCAAAGTATCGCCCAGTCAATCTGTCAATTTGTATGAACATGCTGACCTTAAACAACGAATGCTGATCAGTCAGCCTGTGCATAATCTTCAAAGGATGTGCATATGTGCGCAGTAGATAGGGGGGGAAGAGAAGGAAGGCGGACTTTTCATTGTTGACAATGAATCAACTCAGCAAAACAATTCTTCTTCAAAGTTGTTCCGCCTCTCTCATCTGGCCTCTGGAGTATTGTCCCTCTCCAGATGAAAACAAATATGACAGGCCCTGTACTCTTTTGCAGGTATTCAGACGTGGGCAAATTGATGCGAACAGCAAAGTCAGGTTGTATTTCCCTCCTAACACGAGGTGAATTCGACAAATTCTATACTTGTACTTTTCGCAAAACAAGCTTATCCAGCAGTGACTTACACAGTGAGTTTATTGAAGGTGTGTTCAGATTACTGAGCTGGAAGGCACGATTATGAGCTGATGTTCTATTTTTGTACCGGTACAACACACATGAGCTAGTACTTATATCTAATTTTCTTTATATATTACTTCAGGCTCAGTTATAAAGACATTAAGCACAGGCTTATAAATAAGAATCCTCAATCTGAACTTACAACGTTGTTTTCTCTGACAGTCAGTATCTTTTAGCATTGGAGCTCCCCTCACTGGAGACAGAAAGCACCACTGTCAGGCCAGCACCAATAGCATCAGAAACAACAACTGTGTTGTTGATAGGAATATAATGAGATATAACCTGTGGTATATTAGAAAGATATTGCAAAAGTGTGCCTATTCAGGTGTAGTTTTGTGCTAAATGAGTTTAGTTTGACTAAGGTTGGGTTCGTAAATAGTCAGGCTGATCATCGGAGAGCAATAGCACAAACTGGAACATTGGTTAATTCACTGCACAAGGAAACACCCTTCATTTTTTTTACATTTAGACAGTAATGTTTTTATTTCATGTATTTATACTTACCTGTTCGATAATTCATAGAGAAATAGAATGCAACACTCTAATTTTAGTGTAGGGCATCATATTTGATACAGTATATGAATGCATCCTTAACTTAATCAAAATTGAGCTGAGATGTTGACATTACCTCTTGCTAATTAGAAAAATCTATTAACTTTAAAGCTTCATAATAACTTTGTTTATTTGCACTGAACTGAACAAGATTATTACAATTTAAGATGTGATTCGTTGCTGTTTTAGCAGTAGTAACCTTCATCAGCAACCAAACAACAATTACAAGGAGCAGTGAGTGAACACCATACATTTGCTGGCTGCCATTTGCTTTACATCCAGGTTGCATGAGTTATCACTATTGACCGTTGTTTGCCCTGTCAACAAATCAGGCTGGTGCAGGAGGTCTTGCCAGTGACAATTCTTTGCCATCATCTAGTTTTGCCTTAGGCAGTACTAACAAATTACCAGGTTCTATTCCTAGTTGAAAACCAAAACACAGTGAGCCGAGTTGAGATCAGTTTAGCCGTACCATGAGGTGTAAATGAACAGAAAGTTGTGCAGGTGTTCCAAATAAATGTGGACTTAAATGCGCTGTCATACTGCGAAGGATGCATTGGATCTACTTTCGGAAGCAGTGAGAAGAGCATGTAATGTCAGTTCAATCAATAAATACTGTGTTTTAGGAAACAATACTGGATTTATTGCCATCTGTTCAAAGTGTGACAAGTAATAGTCTTTCCTCTTTGGGATGAAATAAACTCTAGGGGAAGGAGAAGCCAAGCAGGGAACG